CACACACACACACACACACACACACACACACATAGAGATCCCGTGCGTTGCCCGTGGCAGTCAAAACCTGCACCTTCGTAACCCCTCCACCCCCTCTCTCCCTCTCTCTCCCTCTCTCTCCTCCCACAAAACAACAATGTCTCCCGTTAAAACACGCTATCGCGCAATATAACCCCACCGCTGAAACCAGCACTCGCGCGCCATTAGATCCAAGATTCTCTTCTACGAGGAGGTACTGGCGTGGCAGTGAGAATCAAGCCCACCCTTTGGGCTTTATTGGCCGTCACCATAACCTTTAAACAAGGTGAAGAGGTAATGAAGAACTCTCCTCATTCGAAAGAAAAGCCATCCATTCCAAACTGCAGACGCATGTCAAGGCAGACGGTGGCTTGTGTAAGAGTCAGAGGCTAAAGAAGGAAGGGTCAAGCATACGTGTGTAGGGGACTTGAATGCTCACAAGGGCCAGAGCAAAACACACCTTGACCGGTGCCTGAGGAAGGCGAAGGGGGAAGGGAGAACAAGGAGGGCGACGGCAGAGCCATTACGAGCAGGCAGTCCGCGGCAAGTTTTACGAAATTCAAAGCATAAAAACGAACCTCATTCAATCAACGCACGGTGATTTACTAGTAATTGTTGCCCATGGGAGACTAGAGAACGTGAAAAGGGGGCAACGCACGTCCAGTGACTCAAAGAGTCAAAATTGATCATTACCAGCCGCACTTGCAGAACATGACATCCCGATGACCACCCGAGTCATGTAAAAGGCTTACCCGGGACATGACTTGTGGGTAACTGAACCATCCACGCAACTCATATTCTCTCTCTCTCTCTCTCTCTCTCTCTCTCTCTCTCTCTCTCTCTCTCTCTCTCTCTCTCTCTCTCTCTCGCGCGCGCGCGCTCTCGCTCTCTCACTCTCTCTCTCTCCCCACACACACACCTCGAGGAAGCGTTTCGCTTTCTCCCACATCTTTTTCGTTACTCCACACACTTCTCAAACTCCATCCAAGAGTCCTGCGACCTCTTCTTTCTTCTGTTTTCCGGACTCCACTGATCTCCGATCTTCCACTCTCCTCGCCATCTTTCATCTGTCAACCGATCTTGGACGGTCAAC